AAGTATAACACGTTAACATGTAAGCATAGTATGTTAACCTATAAGTATAGCACGTTAACCTGTAAGTATAGCACGTTGCCCAGTAAGTATAACACGTTAACCTATGTTTATACGGTTGATGCTTGTAAGCGATTTGGGATGTTATCTATGCAGTAAGTATAACACGTTAACCTATGTTTATACGGTTGATGCTTGTAAGCGATTTGGGATGTTATCTATGTTCAGTTGAGGATGTTTATACGGTTGATGCTTGTAAGCGATTTGGGATGTTATCTATGTTCAGTTGAGGCATTTTGTGAGATGCTTCACGTTCAACATGCTTTTACCGAGTAGAGATCAATTACGATTGCATTTAATTATATGATTAGCAATTTGAGATGTGGTTTCCGTTGCGTTGAGAAAATGATGGACAAGTTATTTGCAGGTGTCGCTTTGGCAATTTGTAGAATACTTCCTGGCATCATGCTTTTGCCAACTTGAGTTTAATTAGGAATGCATTAGGTATATTGTCTCGCTGAGATAAATTATCAAACACCTTACATGCGTGTATTTCCTTTATTTGCCTAGCTTCTTTTTCTTTTTCTTTTTCCTTTTTTTATTGGGGTAGTACTTCCAGAAACTCCCAAAAACGATAACACTCATAATCAAGAAACTGAGAATAAGTAATAGAAACGCAATAAATCAACGCCACTTCTCATCGATAATCATCATTATCAAAATAACCCAAACTAATTTCTTCATTAATTGAAATTTTGATACATAGTAACAATATTTCAACTAGGCTTTACATATAACCGAATCCTTCGTCAACCAACCCCCAACCCCTTGTCAACGACCTAGGTCAATATCTTCTCCTTCAGCAAGTTCTTTGACCAAATCCTTTGTCAACCAACCCCTAATCCCTCAACTACAACAGCGACTAGAGACGGGCGATGGCGGCTGGAGACGCGGCTGGAAACGGGCGACGGTGGCTGGATACGTGGTTGGAGACGGGCGACGACGGCAAGGGGCTGTCGTTTTTTAATTTAGGACTGAGTTGAAAAGAGTAAGATTAGGAGAGATGTTGTTTATATGGGGCCAAGGGGTATTTTGGGGATTTTGTATAAATACAAGTGGTGAAAATATAGTATTTTGGAGATTGGGTTTAAAGATAAATACAAAAAGTGAACTGAACTTAAAGATACAAATAATAGTACTTGGGTTTAAAGATAAATGCGAGTAAACAAAGGGGTCTAAAAACAAAAACCTCTTTTATTAATTGTAACAAAAGTTACAAATTTGGAAGACCTTCTCAATTAAGAGTGGCCCTCCTCTCCAAATGGAGTTATAAAAATTTTTACCCCTCTAACCCCTCACTTTCTACCCCTATTTATAGTAAACATCAATGAATGAGAGCTCTTGGATTGAATCCTTATCCAAAACCATCAAAAATCAGCCATTGATCTGTAACTAATTCGTAGCCATCGATACCAGTATCGATTCCGGCATCGATGCCGGCATCAATGCCGGCATCGATGCTGGTATCGATGTCCAATCAAAAATATACCTCCACAGATGGCTTCGTCTCGTCGAGATAGGCGATTTTCATATATTATATGTTAAATTCCGCCTTCCGGATTGAGAGATATCGTCGTTTCTTTACGACCAACCATCTTGAATACATTTTGTTTTCATATTTAATTTTTTTATTTTCTCTGGCTTCTACAAGCTACTCAGCTTGATTCTGGGCTTGGGATTTTTGGCTCTTACTTGTGTTCTTCATTTAATTCATGAGTTTTTGTTGAGAGATAGGATTTTTGGGCTTTATTTTTCATTAACCTGCAATTAAAAATAAAAACAATTATTAGTGGTATATTTATTCATTAAAAATAGATAATGAGGGTATAAAATTGTAATAAAATGTGATTATCATGAACGCACAATTGATTTTACAGGCTTACATTAACTAATGAGCTTAGCATAACTTAAGACAATAAATTATTACTACAAAATAATATTGTTGACACTTTGGTGACTCCCACTAAATGTGCTTACAACACTATAGTATTGAGATTCAGATACTGTCTATAACCTGTACTATTTGCACTAAACTGTTTGTCTAGAATGTATAACTGTGAACATCTATCTCTCAATCCGGATAATACAGTGCATGAATCTGAACCTACCACCTGTATATACTTGCGTTGATCCTCTGTTAATGTCATTGACATATATGTGTACTTATGAAATTTGCTATTTTTGTGAATTATGACGTATATAACTGTATAAACTTGTCCCCAGTTGTTCAACCACATTATAGATTGACAGACTCTCCCTGTGAGTACCCCACCTTATACTGACGGTGGTACTGATTGTACTATGTCATATGCTTTGTGTAATAGGTGTTGTATTGTGTTGCTACTGATACACTATTGATACTCACAAACTTTCTCAACCACATACACATTGACCACTTGTAAAAAATACCGTGAAATATATTCACACTCTTTACTACTGCATAAGCCTTAATATGCTACATAAAACTGACCACTAACACCTGCTGTATACAAATAAATACAAACGGAAATGACAATACTTTTATGTTACTAGGTTATCAAGTCTAAAGCATTGATAGTACTTCGCATGCCTCTACAGAATTACATAATGCTTGTTGTATCAATGGAATTATAATATGTGCTATTCTAAACACATGAAACTAAAATATTATATTTCTGACGATACATATCTGCTATACTATAATTATATACATGTGATTCTGATTGTCTGTTTACTCTTAATTGTATGTTGTGCATACTTTTAGCCTGAGTATTAAAAACATAAATGCTTACATAACAAAATTTAACTACAATCTCTTTGTCATGATTTTCTAGAAAGAAATTCTAGAAATTAGATAAGGTGATCATGAAGAAAAAAAGAGTTGAAGAATAAGAAATGATTGCCAATTAATGTCGAACCAAAAATTCAAGCAAAGATCATTCTCCACTCCTCTTCTCCTCTTCAAGCCTAGTTAATTGTTGTTTTCCTCTCTCTCTCTCTCTCTCCCCCCTCCCCCCTCTCTCTCTCTCCCCCGTGAACAAATATGCTCTCTCTCTCTCTCTCTCTCTCTCTCTCTCTCTCTCTCTCTTCCTTCCCGTGAGACAAAATTCGGAAGGGGTTTTTAAAGGGAGAGATTAGTGGAAGAATTTGTTTAGTGGGGAGATAAGGGGAAGTTAGGTGAGGGATTTGTGCAGAGAGATTAGTAGGTTTGTTAGGATTTTCTAGGATGGGTTTTTATTTTATTTATTTATTTATTTATTCAATCCTGTTATCATGTGGGCCTCCAAATGAATTGATTTGCATCTAAAAATGGATTATTACAATATGCATACGGATACAAAGCGGATATGAGAAAATTAAATAATATTAAAAAAAGGTAAAATGGTCAGATTGGTATATTTTGTAGACACTAGGTGACAGAATGGTATAAATTTTTTTACTTTTTTCAAATTGGTATATTATGTAGCCTCCGGTGTCATATACCCCTTAAGTTTGGCCGGATTGATTTTTCCGACCATTTTTCTCACGTGACGGATCACGTGACTCCAACATGGACTCCAGCGTGGACTCCGACATGGCGATGTTAAGTGGGAAGGAATTGATGGGCTTTTGTAGAAAACTCTAGAAAAAAATAATCCCTCACATTCTCTGATTCCCCTCTCTTCCCCTGAACCCCATAGCATGATGATCCCCATAGCTGTTAACTTCCCCAATTTGCAGACGATCTAAGTGAATAGCTTCCATCTTCATTATCGTCTTTGGCGCGACGGAAAAGATGAGTGCAAATTTCATATCTTTGAAACTAATTAGGGTAGATTTGATGGGTTGAAATGCATGGTTGAAATTAGGGTTTTTATTGTGATATTGTAGATGGGTGTCCAAATCTTGGTTAAAATCAGACATGGAGGCAATTTCCCACTTGGCTGGATTGAAGATTATGTTGTGGTAGATCTGATGTCAGATTTATGGACAAAGATAATCTAAATATAGAAAGACTGATGGATGAGGTTAAAGCAATTGGGTATAACAATGTCAAATGCATGTTCTACTATGTTCCTGGTGTAGGAGTTGGAAATGGTGGATTGAGGTCTCTAAACGATTAAAAATCCTTAATTGAAATATTAGTACATGCGAAAAGGGTGAAGGCAATTGAAATCTTTGTTGATCATGTCATTGATAAACCTACAGAAGTTATTATGGAAGACTGTGATGTGTTGTTGTTGGAAGGTTTGAGTCAACCAATTGATGAATCAATAACTCAACCAGTTGATTCTAGTTATTATGGACCTGCACAAGCACAAGAAGCACAAGAAGATGTGCATGCGCAACAAGTAACCACTCCTAAAAAGAAGGTGACAATAGCAACACCCAAGAAAGCTACTGTTAGTGCCAATGAGAAACGAACACCCAAGAAAGCAACACCCAAGAGGAAGGTAACAAATCCTTCAATCTCCAAGAAGAAACTAACACCCAGGAGGGCAACCAAGCTGTCAACTTCCAGTGAAACTCTGTCGCAAGAAGTAGTAACTGAATCAGCCTCTTTAGATGAAATGTTAAGTGCACAACAACAGTCAAGTCCATCTAGTGATAGTGACGACTCTGTGGAGGATAAGAATTACAGAATTGATCCTAGGGAGACATATGTAGATGATGACTTTGAGGAAGATGGTCTATTTGATGAGTTCAGCAATAATGGCAAAGGAAGTAAAAGAAGATTGTTCAAGAGAAAGAAGACTGGTGGCTCTAACTTTAGAGATGTTGACGTTTTGTCTGAACTAAATAATGAACCTAGGGAGACAGTGAATGTGGATGGCAATGGCAGTGTGCCTGAACCAAATAATGAAGATAAGGAGGCAGTGAATGACAGTGCCCACAGTGATGATTCCTTTCAAGCTGCCATATGTAGTGAAGATGAGGAATTGAATGAGATTAGGCAATGTAATAAGGAGATTTTAAGTCAATAGATGGGCAACATTGCTTTAAACTTCGGTGCAGTATTGAGAGAGTGTGTTGATGCAATCAGCTCCATGAGTTTTAACACAGTTAGACCCCCTCGAGTGGTTAATGCTAATATATCAACATCACCTCATGAAAGAGTGCATTCAAGAGCTGACAACACAGTTGATGGACCTGGGCTATCAACCACTGATCTACCTGAAGCATGGCCAGATTGGTTGACAAATTATGATGGTGGGTATGAATCAGATCCTAGATCAAGTGGTGATGAAGGTCGCATAATGGAAAGTGATGAGGATGAACCTATTGTCCAAAGTTTCCAAAAAAGGGTTGCAAAGGTCAAATATCCATTTTTTTAATGAAGAAGTTGATATGAAAAATGTTAAGTTGACAGTAGGATTGAAGTTCACGTCAAGGGAAATATTAAAAGAAGCTATATTGAATTACTCCATACAAGAACACTATGTTATTGTTTATGGAAAAAATGATAAGAGACAATTAAATGTGAATTGTGCACACTGTCATTGGCAGCTAAATGCAGGACCATGTCGTGATGATCATAGTGCTTGGAAAATCAATAGCATGCACCCTTATCATACATGTAGCAGGACATTCAACAATAGGTTAATCACTGAATGTTGGCTTGCTGGAAAATTTATTGACAACTTTTTGAGGGATCCTAAGTTCAAGCCTAAAGACATGAAAACAGTAATGCAAAAAGAATATGAGATCATAGTGGATTTAAGGAAATATAGGAGAGAAAAGAATAACGCTTTGAATGCAGTAGATGGTTTGTTTAAAAAGCAATATGGTTTGTTAAAGTCATACATGAGAGAGTTCTTAAGGAGTAATGATGAAACTACATGCATTCTGAAGGTCACAGATCAAGAGGACTCATCAGGGGTCTTTCAAAGATTCTACATGTGCTTTGCAGGTAAAGTTTTAAGTATTTGTTAGAAAATTTTGATGTTTTACCAAAGCATCTTTGTGATACAGTTTTTAGCTCATATTGAATTCATGCATGTGTTGTCAGCCATAAAAAGGGGGTTTGCTAACAATTATAGACATATATTTGGACTTGATGGGTGCTTTCTTAAACATGCATGTGGTGGGCAATTGCTAAGTGTCATGGGCAGAGACGAAAATAATCAGATGTGGCCAATTGTGTGGGCTGTTGTGGAGGGTGAAACCAGGAGCTCTTGGGAATGGTTTATGAGAATCTTATCTGGTGATCTCAACATGGGAGATGGAGAAGGATGGACTGTAATTTCAGATCAACAAAAGGTATTTCTAATTTCATGTCATATTCAATTGAATCTCCATTTGGACTACATGTGTAACTATCTAGACATGTTTTATTTTTGTTTAACTAGGGTTTAGTTCCGGCTATGCATAAAGTTTGGCCCCAAGCGGAGCATAGGCAATATGCAAGACATATTTATTCCAACTGGAGGAAAGTACATACTGGAAGAACTCTTCAAAAACAATTTTGGTATTGTGTGAAGGCAACCTCCATGGAGGATTTTGTAAGAGAGGCAGCCAAACTCAAGGATTACTCTGAAAGGGCATATGACGACTTCATGGCAATGGATCCTCACACCTTTTGTAAGTCCCATTTTAAATGTCATAGCCAATGTGACAATGTTGACGATAATATGTCTAAAACCTTCAACTCATTCATCTTTCTTGCAAGATACAAGCTAATAATTTCTATGCTAGAAGACATTAGACTTTCTATGATGGATATGATGCAGTTAAAGAGGAAGTTGATAACTCAATTTATGGGTGGGATTGCCCCTACAATAAGCAAGAAAATCAAAGAGGCTTATCAAGAACAATTGCACTGTCAAACACGTTGGTCGGGAACAAATGACTATAGTGGATTTGAGATACATCATAGAGGGATTGGCCATGAGGTTAACTTGGGTGAAAAAACATGTTCTTGTAGGGTTTGGGACTTGACTGGAATTCCATGTCTCCATGCCATTAGTGCAATATTATTCATGCGCAAGAATCCAGAAGATTTTGTTGCTCATTGGTACAAAAGTGAAGATTACACAAATGCTTATGGGAGCTTGTTAAATCCTGTGCAAGGTACAAGATTTTAGGACCTTCAACAGGAGGGATCTGTGTTGCCTCCTCACAGTATTAGAGGCCAATGGGGAGGCCCAAGCTAGCTAGAAGGAGGGACCCTTCAGAAGGTCCAAGAAATCCATTTAAGGCATCAAGGAAATGAGTACAGTTGAGATGTACCCATTGTGAATCGAGTGAACATACACGGAGAAAGTTCCCCACTGCACCACTAACAACAAGCTACACAAGTAAGATTATTTTTATGCAGCTGTATTTTGTGTTCATTAAATAACTTTTAATTACTTGAGCCATCTTGTAGGAATCACAAGAAATAAGAGTTGATGAAGGCCCATCACATGTGAGGAAAAAGGGGAGACCAAAGGGAAGCCTGAACAAAATTAGATGTGGTGACATGCCTCCAAGCAATGCTCCAACTCCAGCATCCATTATCATTGGAAGAAGGAGCAAAGCTCCAACTACCAGCACTGAGGCATGAAGAGGTAGAAGAATGAGAGGGAGAGGGAGAGGTGGTGCAAGTCAACTACGAATGCCAGAAGGGTTTCGTTTGTGGCAAGGAGCACAAGGGGAAATGGTATTTAGAGCTCCTGGTGACAGTCAAGTAAATGTGATACAGTTGACAGCTAATGCACCATCCTCACAGAGTGCACCCTCTCAGGATTTGATCATGTAATTAACTTAACAAGACTACCAGTGTTTTGTATTTTGGGTCATCTAACATTAACTAGACTACCAGTGTTTTGTAATTAACTCAACTAGAGACTACTAGTTGTTATTGTCTGGTTAATGTAATACATGTTCTATCTGATACATTTGGTATTCTGAAACTTACATGCATTTAGTATTTTGTGTTTTGTTATGTGATACAGTTCTATCTGGGCATGTTCTATCTGATACATTTGGTATTCTGGACAGTTCTATCTGGAACTTACATGCTTTATTGACATCATTAAACCAGGTCATGTACATTTTGGGTCAAACAGGTACAAGTGTTTTCAATATACCAATCTGTCAACTTGACATTGTATTCATGCCTATATATAACAACACAGAGTTGATGAAGTGTATTCAGCTTGACAGTGTATTCAACTTGTCAGTATATTCAATATATCAATCCTGTATTCATGCACAATTAACTTAGCTCCATAATAAATTGCGTTAAATATTCAGATTACATTAACTTCATAATCCAAAAAACTCACAAAATATAGTGCTTTATTCATATTACAACCACTTTCACATTACAACCATCTTCACATTACAACATACAGAATTAAACAGAGTGTAAACATTCATAATAACAAAATAAACTTAATTGGCCTTTTTTCTTCTACAATCTTTGCGTGCAATTCTACTCTTTCTTTCATCATTTTCTCCACTTCTTCCAAACAAGAAGCAGCCTCATGCTGAGACAATTCAACATCCTCTTTAAGCTTGTAAATGTACTCATTGCATCCTCTTAGCTCATTTTTATACCTTTGAAGTAATTCCTCCTTCAACAGCAACGTATTCCTCAAACCATTGATCTCCTCTCTTAGAAGCGGAAACAATTGACATCCAACACTACACATTGGTTTGTCAATCCACTCCCAAATTCCACAACCACCAACCTATCATTATTCAAAAATCAAATGAGACCATAATCTACTGAGATGCGCAAAAAATAACAGCTTCCAAGTAAAAACTACAATATTTACTGCAACAAATGAGGAAGTAAAATTAACTTACGCGATGATTGCGGCATTTGTAGAACCTCCTTCCTGGATTTTCATCAGTCATAGAAGTAAAATATTCGCATTCCAAACCACAATTACAAACCTTCACCCCAGAATGCTTTGCTAGATCATTCCACTGTCGTATAACTTTTTTTCCATTGAACCCTTGTTTGCTTCTTTCCATGCTCATGCTTGACACTGATCTTGAGCGACAACTTGAAGATGAAGAATCCATCACTAATTTAACTCCTACTGAACCTAACCCTAACCCTAGGAGGAAGAAAAAGATGGAGTGAGATGTAGAAGAAGAAGACAGATGCAGTTAAGGGGTGACGATGAGAAAAACCCTAATTTGAGAAAAAGCCCCCTTTCAGTGAGATTTATTCATCCTAACTACCGTCACGTCGGAGTCCACGCTGGAGTCCATGTCGGAGTCACGTGATCCGTCATGTGAGAAAAATGGTCGAAAAAATCAATCCGGTCAAACTTAAGGGGTATATGGCGCCGGATGCTACATAATATACCAATTTAACATAAGTTAAAAAAATTTATACCAATTTGTTACCTAGTGTCTACAAAATATACCAATCTGACCATTTTGCCTTTTAAAAAATATATGGTTCATATGATACAAAAGAGTTCATTACTATGTTTGTTATATTTGAAAAACTATGATTAGACATATTGATCATCAAAATTAATCTCAAATCCATAATCTAAGGATTAAAACTATTATACTAGTATGACCAATATGTATTCAGAAATTTAGGATACGAATTCGTATATTTCACTACAAAACTATATTCGTGGCCATATTCCATTGGTTATAGACTTGAGCATATGCGTATCTGTTAAGATATGATTACAAATATTTTCTCGGATATCGATACGATTTAGCACCCTAGTTAAACGTGATGCTGGTTATGTTTTCATTATGCAGCTACAAAGGCACATAGGTTTTGCACACAATAGGCCCATCTGTTGGATTTAATCTAATAAATCTAATTGTGGGCACATATGATTAATCAATATGTATTGCTATCTTTTAGGATAACCCACTAAAGTGATCAATCAAGTTGGGTTAATGGGTATTTAAATAAGTCATGGGGTTATATGTGCAGATACCAGGTTGTAATTGTGATTTGTTGAGGGGCCAAATTACAAAAGTATAACATCTATAAATAAGGGGTTATGGTCCCTAATCTAGGGTTACATTCTCTAATTCTCTTCACCCCCATCTAGAGAGAAATTCGGCTAGAGAAAACCCTAAGGTTAGAAGGTCCAAAATCCATCTCAAGATTTCATCTATGGATTCAGGTATAAGCTTCCGCTCTATTGATTCTTGTTAATCTCTTCGAATTAATCATGGCTTTATGGTTTTAGATCTCAAGTTCTTTATTAGATCTAACAAGTGGTATCAGAGCCATCTTTGATTAATTCTTAGGGATTTAAGGTTTAAAAATTGGGTTTTTGATCTTAAATCTCTGGTTTTTTGGATTAAGATCTGTTCTCGGATGAACAGTAATTTTCGGACGAACAATAAAGCTTTTTTCGGATGAACAGTAACTAAAAAATCACCGGTGAACAGTAACTTTTTAGAATTTTTGGATTTTTCTTCGATTTTTCTTGGACCTGGATCAAGAAAAGTTTTCCCGATTCTGGATCTGTTTTTTTTTTTTTTTTGAAAATAAAAATCGAGGAATTTTTGGGTTTGGTCGGCGACGGTTTCAGTTTGAAACCCTAAGGGTTCGTGCGATTAATCGTGGCAAAAATTAAGGAGGTGGTTACCTCAACTGAACTTCGCGTTCGTTATAAGGTGAGCCTCGTGCTCAATTTTAACGAACTTCGCGTTCGTTCTCAGGTGAGCCTCGCGCTCAATTCAAGTTGAGCCTCGCGCTCAGTTCTCATGTGAGCCTCGCGCTCAACTCAGGTGAGCCTCGCGCTCAATTTTAACGAACTTCGTGTTTGTTCTCAGGTGAGCCTCGCGCTCAATTCAAGTTGAGCCTCGCGCTCAGTTCTCAGGTGAGCCTCGCGCTCAATTCAAGTTGAGCCTCGCGCTCAGTTCTCAGGTGAGCCTCGCGCTCAATTCAAGTTGAGCCTCGCGCTCAGTTATCAGGTGAGTCTCGCGCTCAGTTCTTAGGTGAGCCTCACGCTCAATTCAAGTCGAACTCCGCGTTCATCCTCAGGCGAGCCCTGTGCTCAATCCAAACGAACCTCGCCGCGTTCATCCTCAGGCGAGCCCTGTGCTCAATCCAAACGAACCTCGCGTTCGTTCTCAACTTGAACCTTGCGTTCAATTTTTCAAACGAACCTCGCGTTCGTTCTCAAGTTGAACCCTGCGTTCATTTTCAGACGAACCTCGCGTTCGTGCTTAAGTGAGTCTCGTACTCAATACAGTCAAACCTCGCGTTCAAAGTCAAGCGAACTTCGTGTTCACTATGGTTAAGCCTCGGTTTTTCATGGGTCCACTTTGGTATACTTAATTTATTCAATTAAGTTATGGGCCCTAATTAAGTTGTGAGACCCCAATTAAGTTTTTTGGAAATTCAGTTGATTTAAATTAAATTTAAATCTAATTTGGTTTTAGACCCCAATTAAGTTTTTTGGAAATTCAGTTGATTTAAATTAAATTTAAATCTAATTTGGTTTTTAATAAATTATTAAATTCAAATATTATGACACTAAGGTATTAAGGTTGTCTCTCACTCCAATTGATTAATTGAAACAAGAAGTTGCCAAAGTAACCTCTCTTGTGTAGATTGTTCATGAGGAATGTGAGATGTTTGTGTGTATGCTTTCGTGTAAATATTTAATCGGCCCAAAGGAAGGTTAATATTTATTTAGACTGTATACACATCTGCGATGATAAGCGTGTGACAATTATAAGGTTTACATGTGAATAATGAATCGATCCAAAGATAGTTTCATTATTTGACATGAGTTATTGTCAATGTTTGATCATTGCAACAAGGTATCACTTACAAGTTAATATTACTGTCCAAAGACTTGATATTAATGTTGTGCCGGTATCTTGGATGGGGATTGTCATTATTTGAATTTTATTGATTATGGTTATTGATGTGAGCATTCTTTTGTTTTATTTCAGCTAATGCATCTGCTGCAACAATTTCTGCTAACATCAACTCAATTCCCATGCTAAATGGGACAAACTTCAAGGTTTGGAAAGAGAACATATTAATTGTTCTTGGCTGCATGGATCTTGACTATGCATTAAGAACTGAACAACCCCAACCTCTCAATGCGGATAGCACTCCTGATGCAAAGAAGGAGCATGAGAAATGGGAGCGTTCAAATCGCATGAGTCTTATGATCATTAAGCGTGGCGTTCCGGAAGCCTTCAGGGGCATAGAATCCGAAGGGATTACTAAGGCTAAAGATTTCCTTGTCGAAATTGAGAAGCATTTTGTGAAAAACGATAAGGTAGAAACAAGCACGTTCTTAGCTCGCTTGATTTCAATGAAGTATAAGGGCAAAGGAAATATCAGGGAGTACATTATGGAAATGTCTCATATTGCTTCAAAGCTTAAGGCACTTAAACTCGATCTTTGTGACGAGTTATTAGTGCATCTGGTTTTGTTGTCTCTTCCTGCACAGTTTAACCAATTTAAGGTCAGTTATAACTGTCAAAAGGAGAAATGGACTCTAAATGAGCTCATTTCATACTGTGTGCAAGAAGAAGACAGGTTGAAGCAAGATAAGACGGAAAGTGCTCATTTGGCCTATGCCTCTAAGGATAAGGGCA